GGAAAGTGACTGTATTGATTATGCCAGAAAATGCCATAAGTGTCAGATCTATGCTGACAAAATCTACACTCATCCGATAGCATTGCATGTTTTGGCTCCTCCATGGCCATTCTCTATGTAGGGCATGGATGTCATCGGTCCCATTACTCCAAAAGCTTCAAATGGACATAGATTCATCTTTGTAATGATTGATTACTTCACCAAGTGGGTAGAAGCAGCATCATATGCTAACGTGACCCGATTTGTGGTATGCAAGTTCATAAAAAAAGAGATAATATGCAGATATAAGCTTTCACAGATAATTATTTCTGATAACGCCAAAAACTTGAACAGTAAAATGATGAATGAAGTGTGCATTCAATTCAAGATCGATCATTGTAATTCAGCACCATATCGTCCAAAGATGAATGGAGAAGTGGAGGCTACGAACAAGAATATCAAAAGAATCTTGGAAAAAATGACTGATACTTACAAAGATTGGCACGAAAAGTTACATTTTGCTTTGCATGCTTATAGAACATCAGTCTGAACATCTACTGGGGCTACCCTATTCTTTTTGGTATATGGAATGGAAGTTGTGCTACAGGTCGATGTGGAAATTCCTTTGCTGAGAGTCCTAATTGAGGTAAAGTTAGAGGAAACAGAATGAGTTTGAAATCGTTACGAGCAGTTGAACCTCATTGAAGAGAAAAGACTTATAACACTTTGTCATGATCAATTATATCAAAAGAGGATGATAAGAGCACATGACAAGAAAATTCATCCCTATTGCTTTAGAGAATGGGACTTAATGCTGAAAAAGATCCTTCCAAATCAACATGACAATCGAAGAAAATGGACACCAAATTGGAAGGATCTCTTTAAAAGTTTACAAAGGCAAATGAAAAAAGAAGAGAAAAGCATGATAAGACATTGATGTTGCAGACTTTTGAAGAAAAGTATTGGTAAGAAAGAATACAATGGTCAAATGTTAAGAACAGATTGATCATATGGCAATTGTTAAGAATTCTAAAACCAAAAGTGAGAGATTTCGAGAACCTTTTTATCACAATGAATAATTTTGATTGCATTACATGCATTACATTTAAAACACTAAGTACATGCATCCATGAATAATGAGGACAGGGACTTTCCATTTCCTAATGAAAAACAAGATCAAACAAAAGATTCCAAAAGAGAAAATTTTACTTGTTCAAAGATAAGAAATTAGTTTTGAGAACATATGAGATTTTTAAAGTTATTGAGTCTTTGCTGAGAGGAGCTTTTTTAAGATGAGATTTTAAAAGTTGTCGAGCCTCTGCTGAGAGGAGCTTTTTCAATATGAATTTTTAAAGTTATTGAACCTCTGCTGAGAGGCGCTTTTTTTTCATATTTTAAATTTTCAAAAGTTGTCGAGCCTCAAGTGAGAGGAGCATTTTCAATTTGATGAGAAAATTTTTTTGAGTAGTTTATGTTCAAAAAAAAAGAAGAAAAAAGAAAAGAAAAGAAATATCTCTTTAGATTTCAGATAAAATTGTTATTTTTGTCTTTACCGTATTCTTGATTCTCAACAATGTGCAAAGAAGGGCAGCTATAGACATCAAATTTGTTCGGTAAAAAAAAATAATATTATTAAATGCAAAATACATAAAAAATACCAAAATATAAAATATAAAAAAAAAACCAAACACAACAGAAAAAATGAGGGATGGCAGTGGTGCTTTCCCCAGCACCACTATCACCATTCCTTAGTACCCATCCCTCATCTTACCTACCACCCATACTCTGATCACTTATCTCGCTGCCTAGCCCTACCACTGTCAGATATTGCCAAAAAAATAAAAGAGGCATGGGGCTCGTGCTTGCACCCTCATGTCTAGCCTTGTACCACTCATTCAGGCACAGGGTACTATCGAAGCTCTATTAATAGAGCTCTTGACCGAACAAAAAAAATGAGGATAAAAAAAAGAGCTTTCTGCCATAAAAAAACACAAAAAAATTAAAAAAAAACTCAGTCCTCTAAAACGGGGAACCCAGCGCCGAGAGTTCCTGTACAAAAAAAAAAAACATCAAAGTCAGTTTTCAAAAAAATAAAAAAAATGGAGAATAAAAAAAAAAGTTTGACCGAAACTTCAAGAGCAGATCTGACGAATTTAGAACTTTTTTTGCTGAAAAAGAGGCTGGATATGTGTTTAGGGTGTTGAGGGGAACATTTTGAAAAATTTTAAAATTTTTCGACACCAGCGACGACGGTTGAGCTCGCCACCGGCGAGGACTGTGGCGGCCGTCACGATGGACGGCCACTGGCCCCAGGTTGGCCTAAAAAAAAAAAGAGGGAGAGAGGGCATTTTTTTTTAAGAGGGGGAAGAAATGACTGAAAAAAAAATTTAGGTTTTTATATAAGCTATCAATAGCCAAAACGATGTCGTTTCAATAAACATCCAAAACGATGTCGTTTTAAGCAATTGGATTCGTGCATCAACCCGTGACCGACTCGGGGTCCGTGCACCCGACCCGCATCTCAATCAGCCTCTGATCGATTTGACTGAACTGAAATCAAACCGTTGAACTCGATTCAGATCGAAACCGAGCCGTCGAACCGGGCCGTTGATCGGTCTGGTTTAGGTAAAAAACATTTTTTTTTAGATTTTTTATATATTATTTTTGTTATTTCAATTATTATTCTTAATATTTATGCATATAAAAATGTTTAAATTTATCAAAATAATTTTTTATTGTTTTATAATATTAATTAATAAAAAATAAATAGTAAAATATATGATAAAATTTTTTTATAATTTTATTAACTTTAAAATAAATCTTTTAAAATAATAAAGAATAAGAAAAAATAAGAAAAAAAAAATTTTTATCTGACGATGAGATTCAAAGGTATTTCAAGTAGTGATACTTATGAAATTTCTAAGTGATAATTTTTTTTTAAATTACTACTAGTGTATTAGAGTATTTATAAAAAAATTTTCAATACAATAAAAAATTTTTTTTTCTTATAAAGTAATAAATAAAAATTAATTAATTAATTAATTAAAAATAAAAGAGTAATAAAAATAAGAAGAAAGAAAAATTTATCTGATGATGGGATTCTAAAAGTATTTCGAGTAGAGATGTTTTAAGAAATCCCTAGATGAGAAGATTTTTTTAAATATTACCAATGTATTGAAATATTTATAGAAAATCTTCAATATAATGAAAATTTTATTTTTCTTCAAAATTTTAAATAAATATTAATAATTAATAAATTTTCTAAAGAGAATAAAATGTGTGCATCAACATGATAACATTCTACATTGCATGCATGACATTTTTTACGAAAAGAAAATTTGAGTCTCCGAGGATAAGATTTTAAGGTATTTCGAGAAGTGATGCCTAAGAAATCTTTAGGTGAGAAAAAATTCTTCTAATGTTACCAATATACTAGAACATTTTAAGAATTATTTCAATAAAAAGGTTTTAATTTATTTTTTTGGAGAATAAAAAAAATTTTCTAATAAATAAAAAAATCAAGAAAATTATTTTTCGAACACCGAAAATTGGACTATTTTTATCAAAATAAAAGGATAACAGGTAGTTAATTGGTACCGTTTTTAACAGGCGCTGTGGGGGTGCTAATCATTCCCTACACATAACTAACTCTCGGACTCATACTGTTTTACAGATCGTAAAATTATCTTTTTAATAAATTTTAATTAATTTTAAAACTTTATTTAAATGATATATTTTAATAGGTAATCAATCACATCTAACAAAAAAGAATGATGGTGACTCTATTATTTTTTATTTTCGGTTTTAAATTCGTCGAATGGACATAAAATCGTTACAACAATAAGTATCAAATCATTAAAAATAATATAAGGGTCAAATTACATATTAACTCATATTTGAGCATGCATTTGCACTAAAAGCACACGCCTCAAGCTTCAAATAGAATTGAAATCATTACTGATAGTTTGGACCATAATAATTTGATCTAATTAATGCAAAACCTCTATAAATCGAGAGTGAAGTCTATCAAGAAGAAGATAAATCTGTAGAGACAAGAAAACAAACTTGTGGGCTATGGCTGAATAAATGCAATCCATGAAAAGCATTGAAGATGAGCTAGCACTAGCACAAGCTGCAAGGCTAATAAATTTGATTTAATCATCTTTATTCTAAATGGTCTTGGCAATGAATTCAGAGAAATGTCCAGTACTGCCATAAGAGCCAGAGAAAGTGTAATATCCCTGGAGGCTGCGCCAGTTATCACAGCAAACATGGCAAAAAAATTAGGTAATCCCAGAGGTAATGTGTTCAACAGTCTATCAATTTCAAAATAATTCTTGTTCTCCAAAGAGAAGACCTAACCAGTGATAACTCAAGCTATAGCAACAACAAACCAACTTGTCAATTGTGTGGTCACAGTGCGATGACATGTCATTAGTACAAAATTTCTGCGGTGCAGGACCTAGTTGCCAATATACAATGGGTTAATATTGATTTTTTTCATGTCACTTCAGTTTCAGTGATTTTCATCACTTATTTTTTCAATTTTGTTGATTCTTGAAAAAAGTAACCAAATTACAAAAATTTCCCCTTACATTAAAGGAATATTTAGTAAAATATTTTAATTTTCTTACATTTGTTTAAAAATCAACAAAGTTGAAAATATTGCGACAAAATTTAATAAAATTAGAGTTCAATGACAAAATTCTCAAATGTAACAGAGGGTGGAAGGTATTTTCAGCTTTCTCCAAGTGTTGAAAGAGTACTTAATATAGAGAAAGCATTATCCAAAAGAATATTTTTCACTGCGAATTACCCAAACAAACAGTTATGATATTTATATATAAAATTTCTAGCACATTTTTCTTTTCCTTCGATGTATGCTGATCTTGCAGTTAAATCCACCTTTCAGAATACAATAAAACCTGTACCCGGTAAGACTGACCTATAGCCATATACAATGTTCTCTAAAAACATCAATCTTTGGTGGAAACAAGTTGCTTATTTCCTCTGAGCTATGGTTAAACTTGGTAAAGCATACCGATTTCAACAAGTGACGTATGAGGAATCCCAAGTGCAATTGCTGGACGCCTACTATTGCGTCTAAGAAACCCATAGATTATGTTAATTGCAAATTTCTTCACAAAAGAAGATGCACCATTGGCTCTGATATGAGTGTTTGCCATCATGTAAGCCACCCCAGATTCCTTCGCATCCATTAGTTCCTGCACTTCATTTCTTGATTGAGACATTTTCCATCCGGCTTCTTTTCTTCTTTGGCCAGCGCCTCCAGCAACGATCTCATAGCCCATTGCACCAGCATCTTTGACAGGACTAGGTGATTGCTCTATTGCTACAAACTGTTCACTATTGGCCTGGTGTTTCAGAAACTCCGAGACCTTTTCAATTAGCTGGGTTTCAAAGTCATGGCTGTCTCCAATATCCTTGTATCCGAACCTATCCATTAAACAATAGTCTAAGAATAGTAAGCTGAACATATAACTTGTACTCATTTGCTTATGTTAGAATTATGAATCAAGGATTTCGATTAAAAATTACCTTACAATACACCGGTAAAAACGGAATTCAGGTGGACCAAACCGGGTAACAAGAAAGCGCTTATCAGCTGGAACTTTTGGAATCATAACATAATGCATTGTGACAAAAATGAGGATCTGATGGACTGCTGGAAAGCTTGCCACAAAATGTGCAAACATTGGTGGTACACCAGAGGCAACATTGGAGTAAATTAGGCCAATTCCCGGAATCCTTGATATTCCAAGACCAGGACCAAAAGCAATGAAACTATCCAGAGACACCTTATTTTCCAGCTCAAATGATTGTTTTTTTGAAGTCCCATAGTGCCAGATTGACATCAGAGACAGAATTACTGCAGAGATAAGAAGGGGAAGCCATCCCCCTTTGTGTACTTTAGCAAGGCATGCAGAAAAATAAAGCAGTTCCAAGGATCCAAATGTTAGTACAAACAATAATGCCAGGAAAACACTTCGATTCCAAACAGTAATGATGATCAAAAACATCAAGCAGGTTGTAACAAACATGACTGTGATCACAGCAAGGCCTGTGTAAACAAAACCAGAGACAAGAAAAGAAAAAATTTGGCTTAGAGAGCAAGAAAAAGGAAGGGCATACAGAAAGATAAGGCGACATGAAACACAAACCATATGCATTGCCAATCATGTGTATGTCTCTAAATCCAATAACAACAGCAAGGCATAGCAGCATCAACATCCAGTTTATCTCTGGTAAGTATATCTGTCCATGAATTTGGTTTGATGTGTGTATTATCTTCACACGTGGGAAGCAACTTAGTGCCCTGCACTGACTGATGATGGAGAATGTAGCTGAGATTATTGCTTGACTTCCGACTACTGATGCAAGAGTGGCGATGATAAACACTGGCCAAAATACAGCATCTAAAAGCAAAGGAAGAAATACGGTAGAAAAAAAAATCAGATTATGCACAAACTTGAGCATGCATGGACATAGATCCAAAATGACAATGTGACATCTAACTTGATGCCTCCATTTGTTCTTTCGAGCGATTGAGAAAATGTAAGTTTCTAGCTCACCGGGAATGGCCTTGTAGAAACTACTTTGAAGATTCATTCTATGCTTGGAGAGATAAGCAGCTTCACCCATGTATGCAAGAACTAAACAAGGATAAACAACCGCTGTAAAGCCTATCTGTCATTCCATCCATGAAAATTAGCAAAAAGGAAATCTGTTTTTAAAATAAAAGTCTAAAAGGCAGAAAAAATTAAGGAGAATAATTTACATCACAATTTTGATTTCTTACAATCAGAAGCTGGCAAAAGCAACTTAATTCTCTTTGTACTTAATCATATAGATTGGAAACACAAAGTAAAAGCAGTACGCTGCAAAATACCGTTGTCTAAATTCTGAATTGCATCAAAACATAATAGATAGGAGGCAGAAACAAGAAGTACCCTGACAGAAAGCTGAGAGAAATGACCAAGATCAGCAAACATAGCTTCTGCACCTGAAAGAACAATCATATTATATATTCAGTCTTACCAAAATGAAAAGGTTCCAGTCAGAAACAGCGAAATTTCAGGTCTTTCCCCGAAATCAACCTGTAATACAAAGGACAATGCCTCCAAGAGAACTCCAAGCATCTTTTCCAGCTTTGTTGAAGAAATTATAAATATGGTACGGTGACACAGCACATAGAACTCGAGGATTCCAGTGGAATACGTTGTAAATGCCTACTCCAGTGATGCAAATAAGCCAACCTAGCAATATTGGAGCAAATAGAAACCCAACATTGTGTGTTCCATAGTGCTGAAGAGCAAAATGGCCAACCAAGAGAATGCAGGCAAAGAACACAATATGATCTGGAATGTATGAAAATATCAAAGGATTGAAGCTTTCTATAAGAGTTAACAAATGTGCAGAGAACATTTATTTTCATTATTGTGCTCAGGAATTCTAATGTGGCACAGAAGAAAGAACACATTCTGATTTAACTTACTCTCATGTAAATAAGTAACCTTAATCTGTAAACCATAAACTGCAGAGAGGACTGTAAAACAAAATGAAGGAAAATCAGCAACTCTACTAAAATTCCAGTGACAAAAGAAATCGGATTGCATAAAATCAAGAGTACGAAAGGATCAGTTGAAAGAACCAGAATGATTGAAATAAAGCTCATACCAGACATAGTAGGACTCAGGATTCCATCACCAATAACCATGCTTGATCCAAGAAGCACAACAAGCAGTAGCACAACCCGAGAGCTATGATATTTTTCAAAGAACTGCTTTATGAGTATACTACTTCGTGTGTCATTAACAGGTTCTTCAGCCTTGTCAATAGATACATGCTCATCTGCTACATTTGTGGTATTTAAAAGACCCATCCTTGAGTGTCGGCAGAGCAATGAGTACAAGGCAAAGGTTCCACCTGCAAAAATCATTCATATGTGTTCATTAAACAGAAGCAATAAGATGCCTGAAAGCTTAGATCATGGTTTCAGCTAGTGTGGTACCTTCACCGTTGTCATCAGCACATAATACAAAGACTGCATACTTTAGAAGAGGGATGATTGTCAAAGTCCACAAAATCAAAGAAAGTACCCCCAAAATCTCATGGTCTTCTCTATAAGGTAGCAAACTCCCAGAGAATATGCTTTTAAAGACATATATTGGCGATATGCACAGATCTCCATAGACAACTCCAAAACTCTGATAAGCAAGAGAAATAGTAGTCCTGTACAGTTTCTGCAAAGCGGATTAAGAAAGTAACTGTTACAACATTATGAATTGGAATAATAATTCACTCGATCGGTTCTAATATACTTTGATCACTTCTTATGAGTCAGATTCTCTTTTCTTCTGCTATATATGTGGCTAAAGTAAAAAAAAAAAAAAAAAAATTCAAAAACAAAATTTTAAGACAGCAGCACAAGATGAGAACAAGAAAAAAAAAATACAGGAAAACTGTATTCCGGATTACATGGTTTGATAAATTATATCAGTCAAGTTGAACTGAAACTGAGAATTGGATAGAAGAAGAACCAGGAAGCAAGTCCTGATAGTTTTCTTTCCAAAACAAAAGTTGAAGTCCAATGAAATAAAAGCAAAAACTACATTAATTAAGATGAAAGGAATTCCTCAAACAACATTACTTGCAGTACAAGGCAAAATGGTAAAACTATATTGAAACCAGAAACTAACTTAACTTGCAAATGAAATCAATTCAGTAAAATATATACACTGATAAATTATACCAGAATCGCACTCTTTCCTCATAATAATGACAAATAATGTCACATTTAATGAAGAGATAACATGCAAGCGAAAAGAAAAGGTCTCCGATAAGGCAGAAAATTCAGAAAAAGGAATGGAACCACCAGAATTTAGTATCCTAAACTCAAAAACTTACTTCTTTCTTGATTTTCCTAGGAAGCAAACTGAGAATAGGCTTGTATTAAGATCCTTAAATTAAGAAACAGATGTTTTGACTGACGTAATAGAAAAACTTACCAGTCGAGAAACCTGTGTTGTTGAACCAGTTTCAGATTCCATACTCATCAGAAAATTGAACACCTTTGATATGGAATTTCGCTACAATGGAACTTCGGGTTTTTATTCGGTTTACCTTTAACACTTAAACGTAAGTAAAATCAAAGATGTTCTTTCCAGTATGAAGACGCAAAAATACATTAAAGATACTCCAGAGAGTGATAGGGAAAGAATGGATTAATGAACAGTATCATAAACTCTGATTCTATGTCGATGATAACAACGTTTCAACAAAACCATTGATGGAATCTGATGAGAGAGACAGAAAGAAAAAGAAGTTTGAAAATGAACTTTTTTTGAAAATTAAGGCATGCAGTTAAATAGAAAGAGCCAAAGGTACACCAAAGAAAGGTCCGTACCATCATTTTTGGATTCACCCATAATACGGTGGTTACTAAAAAAAACTGAACAAAAAAAAAATCTGGCCGCTTTTTCTTCGTTACTACAAAAAGCATATACTCCAAAAGCCTTTAATGAAATTTCTAGTTTTAATGATTAGAATCAAATTTTGATAATAATAATAATAATAATAATAATAATAAAGCTTACGACATTTTTCCTAGTAACTACGATTAGACCAAACAGGATTTAGATCGCAATTACTTGGTTAATACATCAAGTTACCCTAGTTCTTGTTTGTTTTATGTTAGAAAAATTATCTAATATAATGTCATTTTTGTTTTTAAATTTCATTAATGAAGTTAGGGATTACTACATGTTATTATATATTTAAAAAATTAAAAAATAAAAGTTTATATTTAATAGACTTTCGTTTTTTTTTTTTTTAATTTTACATATGGGGATATATGTCATTTTATTAATTTTTACTTGAAAAATTAAAAAATTTTATTGACAATGGATTAGATAATTTCTCATAAATTAATATAAAAAGAAACAAAATATATGATAAAAAAAATAACTCCCATACATGAAATAACAATCCTTTACATTAGCAAACTTTCAATCTCCATGGCTGTGAGGAAAACATTAGTCCATGAACTTATACATAGTATTTTGCAGTACATGTCATACTTCCAGATTTCTTTGTTTTTTGTGTTTTATTATGGTTTATTAATATAATTTCAGAACAACGGCAAGTACCTAATTTGTGCCAAAAAGTGTATACCTGGGATTGAACAAAAAGAAAACCATCCAAAACCCTTGTCCGTTTATCATTGCTAGAGATTTTCTTTGAATCAATCCATCCATATTCAACTAATTTTTCTGCAATTGGATTAGGAATCATAAAATGACGATTATAACAATGCAATAAATCATATTGGACTTCGAAGAAACCTATATGTCCATATTCTGTTGGGTATTACTGAAACCAGAGCTGCCAAATCGGTCAATTTCTTTTTCTGGACACTTTTTAAAGAACAACAAACCGGTGCTGATTCTGCTCATGTGGACTGATTTGAATAGGAAGCAATGACCATTTCATTCAGCTAACAACTTTGTTTCTTGGAGAAATTATTACCCAGATAATAGGTTCAACCAAGATCAGGACACAACATGTCATTAAAACTTACAATATTAAAATGCATGGACCATTATGTCAATAAAATATTGTTGTATTTATGAAATTTTTGACTCATACATGTCGATCCAATATAAGAAATTGTCATGTAACTTTTATTTTTATTCTTCGGCAAAGTTTGCATGCTGAATAAGTCTTACAAATATAAATTAATTAACCATATGAGTATTAATATTCGGTTCAATAATATATATGTCTGCATATACCTCTGAATTCAAAGAATTGAATTAAAATTTTTTCAATAAAATTATATAATTATTTAATTAAATAATCAATAAAATAACAAATTGTTGTATATCTCGATAAAATCTAATATAAAATCAAATCAAATTCAAATCTCTTAAAACTTTGAGTATGAGATCTAATAGTGTTACTACTCCACTTAACAAAGACAAAAACTCACTAAATATTTTTTTAGTTAATTAATAGTTTAACATTTTCCTTTACCAGGAATTTTGCAGTGTAGAGATCCCTGACTTTACAAACAACTTGAAGAACGGAAAAATTAACAGATGTGCATTTCTGGTATGAAGTTTACATTATTTGAGATGGTAGAAGGAAAATGAAAAGTTAATTTGACCAAGTTTTCGGGGATTTATTAGGGATTTTTTTAAAGATATTTTTCAAATAATTTATTAAAATTTAATATTATAAAATTTTAAATATTAATAAAGTAAATGATATTTAAGGAGTATTTTGTTAGTTTTTTGTGGGAGTATTGTTTTTTTATTTTTGATTTTGATTTATAATTATTATAACAGTTACCTCACTGTTTTTTAAAGTTTTATTTAATCATTGTATTTGTATCTTAAAACCAAAATCATAAATCAATCATAAAAAAAAAAAATTAAATTATATGTTATAACGATTTTTCGACCAAGAGATTTGACCGGGTGACAAAAATATCATTTTTTAGATAAAAATTTTTAAATTAATTAAAATTTATTAAAAGACATTTTGGCTTACGAAATCAAGATTAGGTTCCAAAATACAGTTACGAGTGGAGAATACATTAGCATTCCCACAATATCCATTCAAAAACGATACCAATTAAATATGTGTTATCCATTTACTTGGATAATACAGTCCTTTTTTATATTTAAATTAATTCCCTAAAGTTTATTCATGAAAAATTTTTATTTTTATTTATTATTTAAACATTCTATATATAAATTTTTCAGCACTTGGTCAGAATCTATAGAAAATATTTTCATTCCAAAATTTTTTGAGAAAATTAATTATTCACAAAGTCCTTAAAATTTCGTCATAAGATTTTCTTTATTCACAAATGACATATATGATTTACACAATTAAAAATCAAGTATGAAGAATCTTTTATTAATTATTATTATTATTATTATTATTATTATTATTATTATTATTATAAACTGATTTTAGGACTATCTTGACGAAATCCTAAAACCATTCCTCAAGCCAACAGATTCGAATAACAAAAATGATGGTAATTGGTTTGCTACCGAAACAAAGGAAAAAAGAGTAAAGGAACTTTAGAAGATGATTCAGAGGCATGGAAAGTTGCTAAAAGACCTAGCCAAGATTGGTAATGTCATAATGTATAGATCTATAAATCTATTGCTAGATATGAATTAAAAAAGTCGTCATCAATCTTTTTTGTTTATATGTGATTGACCACTTGATAGAATCTGTCCCATTTAAAGAGGAATCCCAACAATAATTTAGATATCTTTAAATAGTAGATTCTAGTCAACGAAATCAGATTTTAAGTTTAAAAGTACAGTTACACGTGAAGAAAGTTATAACACCTTCACAACGCTTATCTAAAAGATGGTATTAGTTTGATTTCAAATCATCCAAGCTTTAAAATATTCTTATAATTTTACCAAATCATCTAATTATTGAAAACTAATCCTAAATTTGTTCTAATAGTTTAGTAGCAATTTAAGATAATTTTTTTACCCTAAGAGTATTCATGAAAACTAGCGTCTTACTCTAAAGAGGCTCAATCGTCGGGTTCATTACTATATATTTATTCAAAAAAATAATTAGTAAAATCTTTCAATAGTTTGATAACTTTTACTTTGATGCAGATCTCCTAATAATTTGGTGAGATTTGCTTATAAATTTATTTTTAAAAAATATATTAAATCTTCCAAAAATTTGATAAGACTTAATTTAAGATGCAAATCATCCAATAGTTTGGTAGGATCAAAAAATATTTTATTAGAAAAATTTTTTTATAAAAATTGATTTATAAGATTCTTCAATAGTTTAATAGAATTCATAAAAAATTTAAATTCATGAAAAATTCTCTAATAGTTTGGTAAGATTCATGAATTTATTTTTAAAATATTTTTTGTTATTATTTTTAAATAAATAAATAAATAAAATGAAATTCCTAAAGGTATTTTAAAAAATAAATAACAAAATTTTCAATTTAAAGTAATGAGTAAAATAATAATTAAAGATGAAAATAATAATAATAATAATAAGTAAAAATAAAAAATCTAAAAATAAAATGAAAATAAAACAAAAAAAGTAAAAAAAAAATAAAATCAAATCAAAACAAAAAATAGGATGAAAGGGAAAAAAAAAAAAAAAGGAAACCTATGATCAGGTCAAGTTTAAAGTATAGATCTACATCCAGATCGTTGGGTTCATACGTAAACTTCAAACTTCAACCAAAAAATTCATCCTAAACCCATAAAAATTCAATTTTTAAAAAAAAATCTAGTTTTTTTTAGAAAAAGCTCAAAAAAAAATTTCAGATTCTTAAAAACCTAATAGAAATCCCAAAATAAAAAACCAACAAAAATCTCAAAAACTAAACAAAATATGAAATAAAACTCAGAAATTAAAACCTAAATTTAGGAAACCTAAAAACAAATCAAATCAAACTCAGAACAAAATAAAATCATAGAACCCAAAAAAAATTCTCAAAATTTGCTTAAATGATTCATCTCCAAAATTAAAAAAACTAAATACTAAGATCTTTATTTTTTTCTCCTTTTGTGTGTGGTTTTTGTTTATTTATATGGATTGACTCCCTTTAATTTTGGAAAATAAATCAAATTGATTATGATTTTACTACGATTTTATAATCTGTGATTTGATTTTGAGTTTCTTTTTTTTTTTATAGGATTTGCATGAATCAAACTAAAATCTCTCGTTTTTTTATTTCTTTTTTTTTTTTTACTTTTGTTTTGACTTTTGACTTTTTTTTAAAGCACGTAAAATTAAAATAAATTAATTCATTAAATCAAATCAAATTAAAATTGAAAATTTTTCTATTGGGCCCAAGCTTCCTAATCAAGCCCAATTTTATGGTCGAAGCCCATTTTCGATCTTAAAAAAATTTTCAGACAAACTGGGGTGTCTATAGTTACCCCTCTTTACAAAGTTTCTGTAAAACAGAAATTATGCAAAAAAAAAAAAAAAACATTCATTTTGTTTGAGTTCAAAAACACTAAAAAAAAATTTGAAATCCAAA